ACAGGTCTAGAGCCACGCTAGTTGTACCATTGGAGTCCTCTGGTCAAGATAAGGTCCTCTATAAAGTCTGGTAAGCATAGGAGCTCGTTTTCCCGGTATAGCAAGGCTGCAAAAGTCGTGGCAGCCATTTTGTTTGGGGGTGAATCCTACTTAGTAACGCTACCGCGTTACTAATAATAGTACACAGGGACTATACCTCAATTTTTGAACAACTTTAAAAATTCATAAAAAATCTAATTTCAATCGGAATTAGCTCAAATTTTCTACGTGAAATAAGTACATCTATATGTATCAGGAAAAATTATAAAAGTGGAGAATTCTCTTCTTTTTATTTTTGGTGAAATTTGGCCAACGACCATGTACAGGGACTTTAGCTCAATTCTGGAGCAACTTTAAAAGTTTATAAAAAATTAAATAGCAGTTAAAAAAAGTTCAAACTTTCTAGGCAACATAAGTACATGTATATGCATTAGAAAAAATTATTAAAGTGGAGAATTTTTTGTTTTCATTTTTAGTGAAATTTGGCATACATGTACTATAATACAAAGATTTCGGTCCGTTAGAACAGCTTTAAAATTTGTAAAAAATCTAATTGTACTCGAAATCAGCTCAAAATATCTACACAACATAAATACATGTATATGCTAAAGTGGAGAATTTTCTTATTTTCATTTTTGCTGAAATTTGGCTGATGACCATGTATATCAGGGAATTTACCTTAATTTTAGAACAAATTTAAAAATTCATAAAAATCTAACTTTAATTATAATCAGCAGGGCCGTAGCCAGGAACTTAAAACAGGGGGTTCAGAAATTGCTGCGCGCAAAGCGCGCAACAAAAATTTTGACGAAAATGGGCGTGGTTGGTAGGCGTGGTCTGAGATTTACGCATCTTAGCCATGTGCTGACTCAGCTAAAATGGCTATCTGTGCTTCTCGCTGTTGCCAAAATGCTAATCCTGCTTTTGCAGTGCTGTTCTTCATGACAGGAGCTAATCTAACACTTTTTTGCAGCTACAACAGGGGGTTCGTCCGAACCCCCCAAACCCCCCTGGCTACGGGCCTGATCAGCTCTAACTCTTTATGCCATTTATGTGAATCAGAAAATTTTTTTAATTGCTAGCCATATTTACTAAGGACCACGGTTCATACAAATTAAACTAATTTTGCTAAACAAGCTACATTGTAAGTAGCATGTCAAGCTGAGCACTATACTCGGTTATTAGAGAAAAGTTCCAATTCATAAAATGATCCCAAACATGCACTCTACCAGTACATTAACATTAGATTATTGTCATCAAATACCTTGTCTTTGCAAAAAGGAGTGGCTTTTCCTTCAAGCAATACCCTGACAGCATCTTTATGATTATTCTGAACAGCATAATGCAGCGGAGTGCTTAAAGACTATTAGTTACATAAAATAATCTATCACATAAAAGATTACACTAACAATGTCTTGACTATTCACTGCTGCTCCTTTATCAATCAAAGCATTCACAACATCACAGTAACCATGCTCAGCAGCAACATGCAATGGGGTTTTTCCATCCTATTAACATTGAGTAACAAAGGCAATCACATGTACAGAAACTTACTATATCTTTGTTTCCAGTTGATATGTTGAAAGTCATGACAATACTTTGATGGTTCTCCTTGGCAGCATAATGCAGAATTGTTCTATTTGACTAGTATACAAATTACAAGCAGTTAATAGTAGATATAATGCATCAACATAAATTTACAAAATTTATACATTACCTTGTCTTTACAGTTTTTGTCTGCTCCTTTATCAATCAATAACTCCATGACATTTATATGATTGCCTGCTGCAGCATAATGAAGAGCTGTCATATTCTCCTGCAATAAATAATAATATTATTATTACATAGCATCAGCAGTAAGAGCATACCTCTCCACTAGTAGCATTAATGTCAACATTGAAAGTATCAATGATGTGCGTAACAATTTCATTATGCCCATTTTGAGCAGCAGCATGAAAAGCACTCTATAAATAAACATAGAATATTATGTAATTAATGATATACATTCAAATTACAATATATTCATCATCAACTACAGCTCCAGCAGCAATTGCCTCGATAAATCTGTTCCTGTCACCCAGTCCAGCAGAGTCATAAAGTAGAGCAGTCTATGATTTAATGTAAAACTTTAAAAAATTATAAATAACTTACAAAATTAAAAACACAGCCAATAGCAAGAAGAAATTCCAATGATTGAATATCTTGTTTCCTGTAAGAAATGTTAAGAGGAGTACTGCCATCCTAAAACACACAAAATAACATTCACAAACTAACTTAGATTATGCACTTACTTTATCCTCTACATTTTTACTAGCTCCCTGATTGATCAACATTACAATAATATCATAACTACAGGATTCTGCAGCATAATGTAATGCAGTACGACCAACCTAAAAATTAGGAATTTTTGACATGCAAAATATAATAATAACAACAATAATAATATCACTTACACTATCAACATCATCATAAAATGAAATCCTGCTCATTAATATTTCCATTATTTTCACAGAGCCTTGTCTGGCTGCATAATGCAATGGAGTTTGCTCAGCCTATGGCACATTATGTGATCCTGTACAATAATATGGTGCTCTAGCTTACAGAGTCTTTTGATAAAGGAGATGTCCCAACTAATGCAGTGACTGTTTTGATGTCATTCAGTGATACAGCAATATGCAAACTGGTATTCTACACATAATATAACACACATGTTTGTGTGTCATTACTAAATTTTAAAGCAGGCAAATTTAATTTCAGTAACTGACTTTTGTAGGATCTGGTTCAACATTTCTCTCATAATGCAAGAGGAACCTGTACAATGCCTCATCTTTTGCTAAATGCAATGGAGTCTGTTCACTCTAATAGAATCAAAGAGGAAAGATATTTAAGGCTCTATAAAAAAACTTACAGCATCTAGTGCTTTGACATCAGCTCCATTCTCCAATAGCAGTTTCGCAACTGAAAAGTGTCCAAACATTACAGCAAAATGTAATGGAGTTTTACGGTCTCCCTGTAAAAAATCGAAAGATTTGTTGATAAAAATAAATCATGTATAATTGACTGCTACCTCAATCTCTTTATCATCTTTTTCCGACCACTCCTCCTCTAGTGACTTGTCATCTCCTGATGATTTACCATATGCACCATTGACATCGCAGATTCCCCTTTCAATAAGTATCCTAGCAATATCTGTGTGTCCTAGTTTTGCAGCATAATGCAGAGGAGAGTGCATCACATCATAACCAAAATAGTCTAAATCTTCCTGCGTTGTAAAAAAATAATAATGAAACAAAAAGTCTCATGAGAAAGCAGATTCCAGAGATGCTGCTTTAATGAAAAACTGATAGAAATAACAATCTATAACTAACCGGCACTAAACTTTTATCCATGTCTTTAAAAAGTGACATTATTTCTAAATGTCCACTTCCTACAGCTCTATATATGTTATCCTAATAGAAAGGAATTAAGATCATGCTTATTGTAGACTATGCATAACATACGGGGTCACTCAGGTAATCTCTGTCTGGATCTAAAAGTTCTATTAAATCTTTATGCCCATATAATATTGCTGTACACACAGCTCCCTATTGATTAATTATAAAGGGAATAAATACAATTATCTGTGAATATATACTTCTAATTTTTCTGTGCCATGATCCATCAAATATTTAACAGTATCAGGAAAATAATAATACACTGCAGATTCAATTGGTAAGTTCCCAAACTAATAAAATACAATAAAATTAAAAAGTGCTAATTATCAAGTGACTAACATAGTTTGGTATGTTGGGATCAGCTTTGCCAAACTCTATCAGTAACTTCACAATATCAGTGTGGCCTTTTTTAGCTGCCAGATGCAAGGCAGTTTCACCATAAAACTATAATATGTACATTAATAGAACATTGGAGATACTGAAATGGTCTTACTTCAGTCTGAGTATCCACATTTTGTGAAAATTTGAGAAAAAATTCAGCAACATCATAACACCCATTAATGGCTGCATATTGCAATGGGGTATAAAGTTCCTATAGTTTGGAATGTATATTTTAATATAACTATTGATTATTACCCCAGTTATGTAGTCAACTCTAAAGCTACCATGAACTAGACTAGGCTTTTTTGAGTCACGCAGTGCTTCAATAAATTTTAAAGATTCTTCATTAGCCTAATATAAAAGCGTTAAATGAAATAAGAAATTATGATTTATCCAAATTTTATCATAGGAACTTACATCAGTTTTACTTTTTCCTTTACGTTCAATAAAATAAGATATTATGTCTTGTTTCCTTTTTATAACTGCAAGATGAAATGGAGTGCGATCATACTATGGAGTATAAAGTAATGAGGAGGATAAAAGTGACAAATAAACAAACAATATCTGTGATCTCCAAATCAGATTCATCTTGTATCAGCATTTTAACGAGTTCACAGTGCCCTCCATCAACAGCATGATGAAGTGGAGTCATCTTCCACTAAATAAATAATTCAAAAATAAAATATA